GAGAGGGTGGGGGGCGGGGGTGAGGGGGTGAACACTAACTTTTATGGCTTGGGGAAAAGCCGAACATGCATTTTGTTTGAGTTACTGCAGCGTTAAGAGATGACAGATGAACTTAATGGGCTGTATGAACCACAGCCAGTCATGGTCAACAGCTAAGCATGAAGGCACTGACAGATTCAGTGAGGTCATGAAGAGACAGGCAGAAGAGAGAGCAAAGAGAAAGCTCTTGGAGACAGCAAGAGAAAAACAATGATCAGGGGCAAGATTTTAAAGCTACTATATTCAATATCTTTATAATAACAATGGATCAAATTACTACATGTAGTGTGAGAGGTCTCATTCCTACCGACGAACCCACAGAGAATTATCACCCAACTCTGCAGCTCGCTCTAGGTTTATAGAGCTTTCTGAGCGTCTCTCAGCCCTTTGTTTGGGTTTTACAGCCCACAACTTTACTGGTTTGGTTCCCTCTCACCACTCTCATCAGTGGTGTTTTCAGCTGGAGTAGGCAGCTGTTTTCAGCCCGCCGTAAGCTACCTGCCCGGCACCAGATGACAGACAAACAAAAAACGGAGACTTATAGCTGATGAGCATAGGGGGAGCATTTACCAAGCCTCAAGAGCCAAATATTTCCCCCAGGAGTTTGTGTAGAGCAGATAAGCCAGAACTTAAAGGAGAGTAAATATTTGACTTACATTTGCCACTTGGCCACAAACACATCTCCGAATGAATGATACTGTTGCTCTATGTCTCCTGGATGTATAAATACGCTGTTGTTTGTTAACAAGTTCACCATCTCAACCTAAACGCTGATAATATGCCGGTACAGCTTGTTTTTGCTGCCTCAAATTGGCCAAAAATGTAGGTTTAAGAAAACTATTTCACTCTTTAACACAAAGCCTCTCAGTGTTTTCTCAGTTTTTTTTTTGTTTTTTTTTCCAGAATGGACATCTGAGCAGTTCTCAGATTTCACTCACATTCATAGGCTGGTGTAAGAGATGCTCTATCAAAGTGAGGAATGCCTTCATTGCTACATATCCCGACAGGGACGCGCTCTTTCTGCCAAACACGCACCTGCATGAACACATCCCTAAGAGACACAAAAGATCACCTCATCACAAGCGTTAAGTGTGTCTGCAGCGACAAAAAAAAAAAAAAAAAAAAAAAACTGCCTCAAAAAACCCATTCTTTTGTTCAGTGAAAGTTTTTTCAAAGGTTCATTGCAGTCCCTCATGTTCACACACTCCTTCGCATGCTCCATCCCCTCCTTCTGCAAACTGCTTTCTGTTTCACTCACACAGACCCCTCTCCTCCTGAAAGATAATTGTAAATGAATGAGTAATTAAGTGAAAGATGTTTGAGGTTAGAGGAGCGGGGGACAAGGAGGAATGCGAGGGAGTAGAGACATGCAGGGGGGAACCTCAGGGCAGGATGGAGGTTTACAGTTGATGGTAAAGATGTGGTTGAGTTTGAGAGGGACCCTCTGAATGGAGATTTGCACGAAAATAGGCCTGAGTCTGTCAGACCCCCCACCGTGACATAGGGCTAGACTACAATAGAAACGGCAGTCATTAGGAATAACTCTCTCAATCTGTCTTCCTCTGTTTTCCCCAACGTTTCTCTCCCACACCACCATCCACCCTCCTCTTTCTTTTACGTCACCACTTCTCCTCCTGCAGTCGCCTTCCATTTTCCATCTCCTTATCTCTTGATCATTTTGTTTATCCTGTCGGTGGCATGTGTGATGAACTTGGCCTTGACTGAAGTATTAAAAGAACAGATGAGAACCGCTCGCACTATGTGGGAATGTGTTTGCATAGCAAACAAATAAAACTCAAAGATATACAACGAAAGGAAAACTTAGCCCTTGTCGCAACTTGTACCAGATCCAGTCAATTTGATTTATTTAAACCAAAATCACAAATTTGTCTCAGCTGGGTTTTAACGTAAGACCTTAAATCCTCAGTTCAGATAAGGAAAAACTCGTTATCAGCAGGAGGCCAGTGGGGAGAAATCTAAGCAAGAGAAATGGAGCAGTGACTCCTCTTTCAGGACAGGCAGACATTCAATATGTAGGTGTTGATCTGCAGAACATTTTTTGGCCACATGCGGGGCAGCAGAAACAAACAGTCAACACAACAATGACATTTCATCCTTTTGAGTTATTATGGAAAACTCCAGCATATGAACAACGTATAAACATCCAGCTGATACAGAGAAACATTATCATTCCTTCTGAGTTTATCTGTTTTGGACTGTTTTGGACAAAAAAAAGTCCAATGTTCAGTCCCTTTTTTTCCCCGCTCTTTTGGTCTCCACCAACTACAGAGGGAAATATTTGCCATTTTAGTAACTAAATGCTCCACTATGTTCATCAGCTAGTTACTAACTTTGTCTGTCCATTGTTTGGTGTTGGGGAGGTAGCGTGCGATGCGTTTATCAGCACTTTTTGATGAAAACAGCTTCCGGCTGCGTCTCTCTGTCGAGAGCATTGAGAGTAAGCCAAAAAACAGTAAAGTTGTGAGCCGGAAAACCGAAACAATGAGTTGAAAGAAGCTGAAATACTCTCAAGCTGAGCGGATCTGCACAGTTAGGTGATAATTCTTGGTTTGTTCATTTTTGCAAGAAGTCATTTCACCGATCATATATATACAGTATATCTTAAAAATTCATTATCGCAGCTTTAAGTGAATTTAAAAAAATTACTGAATAAATTAAGTCGTAACAGATAATATTCAGTAAACGTTGATGAGATTCAGCTAAAGTGTGCGAAGACTGTGGATCACAAAGAAAATGTCAAGCAACCGTGTAACTTCATTTCATTTCATTAGATTCTTCCTCAGACATTAAATGATGGTTGCCTTTTCTCAAACAACACCACATACATACGCACACACACACACACACACACACACACACACACACACACACACACACACACGAACACCCCTGCAGTTCCCAGTCTGGCTTCCCTGTGAATGGGGACTGCAGAACAGAGGTTGGCAGCAGTCTGCAGGGCTACGGATGCTTATCAGAAAGGCTTACAAATCCCTCCTGATGCTCCTGATACGGAGGACAATGGGTATGCGTGCGTAGTGGGAGCTCACTTTAAAGCCTCATTGAAACCGACTTCACTACTCTGCTCTTTAATGAGGTCAGAGTAGCCTGCTGGCTGTATTTCATCACTGAAAACAGGGTGTACAGTCATAATAAACTGCAGTAAGGTGACTTGTACCAGTCAACGATATCTTCCTCCTGAGCAAAACATGCTGGACTCACTGTACCTAGTGAAGTCAGTACTTCAATCACTCAGCATGACATCAAAAGAATTACTTTCACTTGAGCTAGATCAAAGTACATTATCACAATTTTTACAATTCAAACTAAGGTCTATCTATCTGCGTTCTTTAAGGAGACTCTACAGCTTCTACTTCAGTGTGTGATCCTGTCTTTGTATTGAACTTGGGGTTAATTGCCCTGGTGGGAGCAGCTGCCAGGCCACCAGAGTTGCAGGTGAGCTTTCAGCTGCTTTCAGCAAACACATGAGCCTCCCACACAGCTTTGTGTTGCTTCCAGAGGATGTGCCTGAAATGAGACTGACTAACGCTCAAACGACAATGAAACAACAAGGCTCATGCAGCTGATGTTGTTGTTCATAGTTTCAGGACAAATACTGCATTAATAATGATTAATAAAAAAAAAAAAATCAACCCCTTTGCACCTTCATTCTCTCAGATTGTTCAAACTGATTCTAGACAACAGAAACTGGCATCAGATTAAAATGTGAACTGAATCATGAAACTGGCTTTTGGTTCATTATTCAGTTACCTGGGTGTGTGGTATTGGATGTTGGGTTTAACCCTCTTTTTTAGTTTTGGGTGAAAGCAGTATAGACTATGTGGTTTGACAGTCTGCATCTCTGGTTTCATATTAAGGTGGCTGGGGCGGGGCACTGCAGGGAGCACAAGGAGGAGAGAATTATTTAATGTGTATTTGTATTGTGTATTACGTTTATTATACATTTACCCTATGTCATGTGGTTTCAAGGTTTGTCATCAGTCACGCTAGTCACTAAATCATCATAAAATCCCAACGCCACTTAAAAAGCAAAGAGATTTGTGGCTAAATGTATGGTCTCTGAAGTTAACATACTATAACATGATTGTTTTTATATCATGAGCCCCTTTTGTGCTGATTTCATACATTAGACTGTATAATAAACATGGCTAATAATATGTTATATTATCTATTATGTATTATAAGCCAATATATAGCTTCCTCTAAATAATAACAAAAATCAGAAGAAATGCAGAAGAAAAAAAAACTAAAATCAATGTTACAGAACATGTGTGCAGCATCTAAAAAGCAAGTGTCAGAATGTAGCTACAATTTCTTAAGTTTGATAGCAACTTTCCTGAATAATAATATTAACAATAATGATATAGAATATTATGCACAGTTTAATGTTGAATGATGAATGTTTTATTATTGGGCTATGTGTACCAGTCACTAAATCATAACTAAATCACTGTTACAGAACATAAGCTTTGAGATTGTATGTAAAATGCACTATTTCCTAAATTTTCATATACTGTGTTACTGTGTATAATATATACACATATATATCATAACAACTGAATATTCCGTACTTACAGTGCAGTGCATGCCATGTTATAGATATGCATACAACTTTGTATGTCATATAAAATCTTGACTTAAGCATCAAACTGTATATTTGAATGTTGTATCATGTAGCCTGTCACATTTACAAACAGTATGATGCATGAAAAGCTGGAATTTCAGCATGTTCTTGTTTTTTTTTTTTTTTTTTCCTGCTTGGCCGAAACTCGTTGGGCTACTTGCTGTTTATTGAACGCCTGAGGGGATGCCAAGTCAATACGCTTTACTGTTGGGACCAACCTTGGAGGCGTAACTCTTGAGAGGACGCTATCAGCAAGTGCAGGAAAAGGAACAGGCTCATATTCATTTACGGAGTCGGAGGGAATCGAGCGCACAAGTTTCCTGAAGTGGAGTTCAGCTACACAAAGCGAAAACGCATCTGGTCTTTTAAGAGAAGAGACTTCAGAGAGGGAGGAAGAATCGAAAACAGGTAAGCTGATCGAATGAGCTCATGTGGGCATGAAAAGCTCAGTTTCTCGGCTTACTAGCAACACTTTGAATAGCGAAGAGATGCTCAATACCTACGATTCATTTAAACTGCTTACGTCTTATACGAAAAAAACATTTGTAGTTTAAGGCATAACTTTGAACAGCTTTGTTAACACTTATTACAGATACCAAACCAGGATGAAATCTATAGCCACTTGTAATTTACTGTATTATATATGCTACTGGTATCACACATAGAGTTTTTGAACATTACAATGATCCCAGCGTGCCCCTGTGCTATTTATTTGCCTCCCTATTCAAACACGGAATCAGGCTACTGTATACCAAGCTGACATCTGATAAGAGCAGTTTGTTTCCAGCCTGATATAAATCAACAATGACAACAATGACACTCTTATGTGTTTGCTTGTGTCTGGGATCTTTCCCTGGATTCAGTATATTTGTCATGACGCACAAGGCAACACATTTGTTGGCAATCTACGCGGAAACATGACGTCCTGTCCTAAAGTGCGAAGATTTTATCCCAAGCTAAAAGCCTGTAGGTTGAGACAGGCAGTGGAAACTTGTGACAAACATGCCGCACCTGCGCCGTTCTAGTCGGCAGCATTAGCACATGAAAATGGCCTTCCATCGCTTTTATTTCATGTGTATTGAGAAACAAAAGACGTTTTCAGCCAATTTGTAACTGGATACTAGCGAGTTGAAGAGGGGAGAAACAGAGAGGTTCAGAGAGATGCAGAGAGAGAGAGAGAGAGAGAGAGAGAGAGAGAGAGAGAGAGAGATGGGCTACATGTGCTGTCTCTGTTATCTGATGGTGTGGGTGTTAAAAGGTTAATTAGCTTGAAGCCTGTGGGGCTACCTGGCACCTCCAGGTATTTTCCATATAATATAAGGGAATTAGACAGAGACCATTGTGAGGGATTATCTCAGCATAGAAAACCCCTCCATTCCAATGAATAGTACTCCCCAGTGGGCCAAAAATAATCGAAAGTTAAATTAAATGTGAGGTATCTGACATCTCTTTAAAGAGCTTTATCACAGGCAGTGGTGGAAGATATATAGCCATTACATTAGTAGAAGAAGCAGTGCAGAGATGTAAAAGATCTACTCTACAGCAAGCACTGGATTTAAATTGAGTAAAAGTGCATAAATATTCATCAGCCAAATGCATAAAAAACATAAAGACGCTCATTTGCCTCTGTAGAACAAAATCTTCTATCACAGTATATGGAACTTTATATTGTTATGGAACAGTTAGAAGATAAAATAACCAAATGGGAATGTCTGCTTTTGGCTAAATCTAGTGTATTTAATAGCTGGAAAAGTCAAGGTACTTTATCACATTTATGGAAAAAAAGACTATTTCCATAAAGCAGTTTTCCTCAATAATTTGCACCATTGTTCACTCACAAATATTATATTATAGATATAAATAGTATTCCAAACTCTGGTGGAAGTCAAAGTTATATTGTCTCAGTATATTGTCATATCGCCCAACCTTGGCCCCTGTTAATGTTAAGTATTTTATATAATGTTAGGTAGTTTAGTTTTCACAAGCTGATCATATGTGTATGTATTAAACCTGAACCTGCAAAGTTACCACTAACTGTACCTGTAAAATATAATAAAATACAATATTTCCCCCTGAAATATGGTGGGGTAGAGGAATAAAGCAGTACGAAATGGGAATATTCAAGTAAAGTGAATGAAGACAGATATAAGACACACTACAGAGCTGCACATCTTAATATGGTCCAGGTGTCCTTGTATATGCTTATTTTCACTTCGCCTTTTTCTTTCACCATCCTCTGTGACTTTGTGCCAATTATCCTGTGTACAGCGCAAGCCTCCTACACAGACAGATGTCTGCTGTGGTCACATTTCACTGCTTTCCGGCGTGCTGTGTCACCCAGTGGCCTGTGACCCTCGTTTTAAATCGTGGTCCGAGCAGTTTGCAGTCGTCAAGCCTCCCGCTGATCTGCGCACACAATTCACTCTGTGGGCGTACAAATCAGTCCGGGGCAAGCGCAGGGTTAGGACACTCGTGTTCTGGTTTTGATCTATCACCTTTCACCTCTGAGCTTTCACACTGGCAGGCTGCCATTTAGGGAGCTGAGAGAGACATCACAGCTAAAAAAAAAAAAAAAAAAAAAAAATTGAAGACAAGACAGATACCACCATGCAGGGTTGGACCTATCAGTGGCCCTAAACTCAAAAGGTTACATGCATGCCAAGCTGCTCTAGACTAGTACCCCTGTACCCTGTATTTAAAACTGCTTGCTTATGTTCAAGTCTTATTAGACTCAGATGTTGTAGGATGACGTATTCAAGGTTATGAGCAGCATTTTCTTTGATCATCTGGGTGGTGACAGCTCCACTCTCACCCTTTCTTTGCTTGCCTCAAGAGAAGAAGGGAAACATGGGATTTTTTTTTTTTTTTACCATAACAAGCATGTTAAGGGAAAACACTCTTTAAAGTGGCATCAGGTTTCCCACCCTGACCAACGCTTTATCTTGGAATGCACGGAACGCTCCGGAAATACACCCTGTTTGGACTTCTCGATCCCACTTCCTCATGTCTAATCTGCACTATGTGCTAGTGGAGCTAATGTAAACATTTATTGTACTGCTCCCTGACTGCACATCAGTCACGGACAAGTCTTACGTTTGTGACACGACAACAGAGAACCTTTATTAACTCATGAAAGAAGTGTTTTAACAGTTAACCACATTAAGATTCTTCAGGATCTGGTGGCAGACCGCAAGCAGCTTTATGTTTTATTAGCGTGTGCATTTTGAGTTCATGTGGGTAAAATAAGCCACGCTTTATGCAACAGAAAATTAATTTTTAAATATGATACCAGAAGGTTAAATGAAAAAAAACAAAACATGTGGTTTTATTTAACTGTTGCTGTCTTTTTCCATGTATGTTGCAAGAAATGATGAGTTAATGACTTGTTTTTGCAGGATCTATCCCAGTCAGAGGTGGTGTTTGGTGTGTTACCTCCAAGTGATCTGTGGCCTTCTCCCAGCACTGAAAAATGAGTCTGAGTACCAGTGAGCTGGAGGACCTGTGGGATTCGTGGGGGGAGCTCAACTTCTCCGAAACCTTTAGCAACATATCGAGTGTGGATGCAATGGTGTGTGCCACGGCGTTCAACCGCAGCACTCTGCTCTACTCCATGTGTGTCCTCTACACTTTTATCTTCATCGTCGGTCTGGCTGCTAACGCTCTGGTCCTCTGGGTCAACATCCGTGCGCAAAGAGACTCCAGCCCTCGCCATGAGACACACATGTACATCGCCCATCTCGCAGTCGCAGATCTGTGTGTGTGTGCCACTCTGCCCGTGTGGGTGAGCTCGCTGGCCCAGCATGGCCACTGGCCCTTCGGTGAGGTGGCGTGTAAACTCACGCACCTGCTCTTCTCCGTCAACCTCTTCAGCAGCATCTTCTTCTTGGCCTGCATGAGCGTGGACCGCTACCTAAGTGTGATGCAGCACGGAGACAACGAGGGAGGCGCGCGCAGTAAGCTGATCCGCCGCGGAGTGTGTGTAGGGGTGTGGCTTCTGGCTCTTGTGGCGTCCTTGCCAGACACCTACTTCCTACATGCTGTGAAGTCAACACATGGGGACACCATGCTGTGCCGGCCTGTGTACCCAGGGGAAAACTCCAGGGAGTGGATGGTGGGAGTGCAGCTGAGCTTCATCCTGCTGGGCTTTGTTCTCCCCTTTCCTGTCATTGCTGTGTTTTACGTCCTGCTAGCCAGCGCTTTCACCCGCTCCTCTACGTCTTCGTCATCTTCCACAGTAGAGCAGGAGCGTCGTGTGAGCCGCAGGATGATCTTGGCCTACATCGTTGTGTTCTTGGGCTGCTGGGGGCCCTACCACGCTGTCCTCCTGGCTGATGCCCTGTCTCAGCTGGGCCTGGTGCCGCTGACCTGTGGCCTGGAAAATGTGATTTACGTGGCCTTACACCTCACCCAGTGCCTGTCCTTGCTCCACTGCTGTTTCAACCCCATTCTCTACAACTTCATCAACCGAAACTACCGCTATGACCTCATGAAGGCCTTCATCTTCAAATACTCCACAAGGACGGGCTTAGCACGCCTCATTGAAGCTCCCAACATGTCTGAGACTGAGTACTCTCCTGTAGCTGTAGAAAACCCACCACAGATCTGAAACTCACAAAACACAATGAGCATTTCTTGAACACTGTTTCTAAATCTAACTGACAATAATGCAATATAACGTTATGTTACAACTGATTTGTTTGTATCAGAATCTGAGAAAAACCAAATGCAGAGTCTTTTTTTTTTTTTTTTTTACAGAAACCTGCTTGATTTCCTGTAGAAAAGCTTGAAGACATAATATCAACTTTAATGGATTGATTAAAAGCACTTAGAAAGCAGTTTAATTATAACAGCTGATACTGAAATCATATGAATATTGTCACTCATTTGTAAAACAGTGACTGTAAATGTGTACAATCATTGCCTTTACCATGTATAGGATTGTATTGTGTGTGTATGTTTGTGTGAGTGGTGTGCATATCTGTCGGGCATTGACTATTGATAGTATCAGCAGAGTAATATTGTCAATCTTTTTGTATCAAGTTGTATTTATATACTTTTGAACTGTTTTGCCTCTTTCACATTTTAATGTAAAGTCTTGACACACTGATGTCTGCTCAGTGCTTCACTTCATACAATGCTGCCTCATCATTTTAGTCGAGCCACTGAATGGCTCAGCGTTGTAGTCCTGCTGTCTCATTATTAATCGTAACCTCATGTCACACCAGCTGAATCCTTTAGACTAATAATATAAATCAATTTTGAGTTGTTCCATGCTACTAAGTTTTGTAAATTATCTTGTGAGTGTGTGTTCTGGGCACCATTGTTGAGTTTTTTGGAAATACACTTTGCATTTTTACGTAAGTAGTTAAATGAGAAAACAATACCACTCTAATGTCTGTACACTAAATATAAAGCTACAGCCAACAGCAGATTAGCTTAGCTTTGGAAAGGTGGTAGGAAAAATTCCACCTAGCAGCATCTCCAAATTCCACGTTATGTTATTTGTTTAATTTCATGGACAATTATGTGCTGAACTATTGATTAGCCAGGTGTGGTAACTTCCTGTTGTGAAGATAACTGTAGTCTAGTTTTTTGTACAAATTAAGCAAATAAGTGTTAATTACCGAGCTTTAGAGGTGCTGGTTGGTGGATATTTTTGCCTTCGGACAGAGTCTAGCTGTTTCCCCCTGGGTCTTTGCGCTAAGCTAAGCAAAGCAAAGGTGAGCTAGGCTAATCTAAGCTAATCACCTGCTGACTTTAGCTTCATATTTAGCGTACAGACATAAGAGTGGTTTCAACCTTCTCATCTAACTTTACGCGAGAAAGCAAGTAAGTGTATTTCCCAAAATGTCAAACTTTTGCTTTAAAAAAAGCCAAGATGTTGCCCTGCTGTCCACACTGCAGATCATTAACTTAACAGTTTACTTTTGGTTGTAAATATTTCGAAACATTGTCTGAAGGCTTCAGCTGGGACTACTGAGCTTCTAATGTACAGTTTTACATAATATACCGTGCTGTCTCTTTCTTTTTACATCAGTGCTAATAGTACAACAGATACACATATCCATGTAATCCTGCTGCATCAGCCCATAGGCCACAGGTGGCTACAACTTTTATGTCCAAGTAACATGAACGGACAGCTTTACTCCTCTCATGTAGACAGCAGCTGTGGCATGTAACAGCCAAGTGTTTATTAGGGACCAAATAACAAACATCACTGCATTACCGTAGAGTTCTATGTGTGTGACTGCATACTATAGCTTGACACCAAGAGATGAGGTTTTATGTGTTATAAACATAGAGTTTACTCACTGTCTGTTGTAGGAAACAACATATTCTTTTGATATGTTGACATTGAGCACATTGTTTCATGTGATGGGTTACAAGTGGGTGCTTTTACACTGAAAATATTTCATGTTGAGATTAGAGAAGACTGGAGACATGAACATGTGCCTACAAGAGCAGAGGCATTCCTTTGGTATTGTAATGTGTAACATGTGTTTTGCTATATATTAAATACAGAGAAAATGTTTTGCCTCTGTCTTTTGAACTGAATTCATACACAATAAAACACATCAAGAATTACATATAAGCATCACTTCCTGTGGTCTGTCCCAGCCGTCACGACTTGTGCAGTGAACTCTAGACAACTTGTGGTTCAGTCATGGAACGCCTTTAGTGTGAAAGAAAACACATTATGTAATGCCACACTCATTTTCTTTCAGACAGCAGAGACAGAAGCAGATGTTGCTTTTGTCATATTGAAGGAAGAGTCCTAAATTTTTTTTGGACAATTAGGATCAGATGAGAAGATGATTGATTGAACAGCTTATTGAATTCATTACAGAAGAACAGACTGACAATAATAGGTGGGTGGTGTCGCTGTCTGTTGCACCTTCAACTTGCAGAACTGTCACATGGGGGACGGAAACTCATGAATGTTTTGCTCCTTTAACACGGCACTTGACTTGCTCTCCCATGGGAAGGACAACACCCTGCCACTGTTATCTTCAGGATATGTGACAACCCTCCGCCCTGCCTCCTTGCAATCAGCTGCCAGATGTGAGTACATCAGTGTCTTCCGCAGCCTCTTCCCCCTTTTCCCATGAGATGATGAATTAAACGGGGAAGACCATTTTGGTGGCCAAAGACCACGCCACGATGTCTGGGAGGAGATATGTGGTGATCTCCCTTGGAGATCTCCCTGCCAAGGTCAACCCTCATACTTATTGAGGAGAGGAGTGATGATGCAGCTCTTTCCAGTGTTCCCTTGAGTACACTCAGGACCTCAGTTTTTCTTGTGTAACATCTGAAAATAATTTTGGACATGCACATGACTTTTTCTACTTTTTCACCTCTTGCTTACAGATTTCTGGTGTCTTGGCCTCCTTTTTCAGTATCATCTAACGTCACCAGCTGCAGCGCTCTTGAGACAGAACGGTCTTACTGACAGAATGTGTTGAAGATTTGTATTGGCAAGTGAGGGGCAGTTCACTGGTGCAGACCCACTGGTGCAGGCAGGCCAGGGTGTCAATAGGTTACTCTGACGAGGAAGCTGCGCAGGGAACTCCAAAGGTCAAACCAAGTGAGTGATCTGCTAATGACGCCCTCCCAGCTCCCTTCCTCCCCATGACACTTCCTTGATCTTGCAACACTCTGCTGGTGTGTGGAGGTCACCTCTCATCTGGCCTGAGTCCTTTCATTATCTTCCTGGTGCTGTAGCCTGCTGATGGGTTTCTGCAGGCCAGTGAACCACCACTAACTAAACACAGACTTAAAAAAAAAAAAATGATTTACTTACTTTAGGTTTTGACAAATGAGGGCCAAAAATTGCACTGCTCCCTGCATGTTCCTGCATGTTAATATGGTGAGAAGTTGATGAAATAAAAATTTAAGAATATGCATCATGTAACCATAATATTAGCTATACAAGACCTAAAGATTAGGTACAAAAACTGGCATCATATTAATCAATAAAACAAATCATCACAAACGAATTGCCGCTCTGTGCCCCTCAAAAGTCTGGGCACTCAGTGCAGTTTCTTGCTTATAGAAGTAAGGTTTAATTATAATTCCAGATGAGGTGTTATACTGTATTTCAGACCAAATCCCATAGCAATATTGCAGACTATCCCACCCATATAGTGGATGTTCAGGTGCTGCAGTCATGTCTGAATACACTCAGGGTGAATAGAGTGTAAAAACACTTCTACTGCCCGCTCGGTTGCCTGTGTTTTACTTGGCAGGCACATATGCTGTGAAGTGTTTTAGTTCCTTTTACAGTTTGTCAGTTATGATTCCCTTTTAAATCTCTTCTGTTCCCATTATAAGTTGCTTATACAGTATGTGTCAAACATACTGAGCCAGTCACAAACTCAGACACTGTGCTGTGAGTAAAACGTAAAACCAGCTAAACAGGAGCTCTGTCATTCATGATACTTGACTTCTAAGACACAGTCTCAGCTGTTTGCAGTTTTCTGCTGTTGCTGGCTGGAATGCCTACAGTAGGCCTACTGTAAATCTCTTTGCTCCCAACCTAAGGAGAGATTTACAGCTAACTTTGTGAGATTAAAAGTGGTTAAAACTGGGAAATGAAATCATCTGATGTCCAACTTAGTCCTGGTTTTTGTTACAGTTGGTTCGTATGTGAATTACAATACATTCTTAATAGGGCTATTTATTACAGTTTGATTTAATAAGCGTAGGTAATGGACCAGAGATGAACTAGATTAAGGGAGTGTTGCTTTCCAGCATGATGTTAGTCTATACCTTATGCTGAGGAGAGATAACATTAATGAATGGTGAAAGAGGGAGGAGGTGCAGAGATGGAGAACAATTTAGAATTTAGATAGATTTTAAAATGTTTTCTACAGGACGAGAACACTTTGTAAATGTACTGAGCACACTCATTTTATAGTAGGATATATTCACCCAGGCACCGCAGGGCCTTGTAGTTGCAAATATAAGTACGATTATTTCTGGCCCATTTCCAAGCATTTAGAATAAGTTCAATTCGTAATCAAGTCTGTGCTCGCTTTGCTTGGTCTGTCAGGAATTCCACATGAGGACTTATGGTGGATAAAGGCTCTTGAATTATTAATGAAGTCGAATGGGAAAGCAGCAGCTGCTTGTGCTCACAGGGAGTTTTTGGTGTGAATATAAAGAAAGTCAGAGGATAGAGTTAGTTTATCACTCCATGACTCCACTCCTATCAGGAGAGGAGGACAAGTGCTATGTCCAGATGTTGGACAGATGTTCAGTCAAAGGGGGAAGAAAAACTTAAAAGGCTGACCTGAATTTTGATCAAACAACACCAATGGCACGCGTCAATTTACAAAGTCACGGCTTATTTAACCTTCCTGGCACAGGCCTGATAACATTAAGTTGAGGGCAGATTTTTCTTGTGCACTGGAATACATCAACATAAACTGCGGTCTAAGATGGTATTTATGTTGCCGTGTTCAAGACTAATGATGATACGGCACAGGTCTTTGGGAGCAGATGGCCCATGCACCTGATATTTTTTGTTTCAGACAAGGGGAAACAAAGCAAAAAGTCCTGCAGCTTTGAGTCTTACTTTTATGTTTGTCCAGGTAGTGAGATATCTATCCAGAAATCTCTGCCTCCACCCCTGTATAATGGAAGTGAATCACATTACAGTGTGGATACAATGGTTTCTGTGGCTTAACTGGGACCTTGTCTTTGGAAAGAGAAGTTACTATTGAATTTTGTAGTGTATTTTTTTATTCTTTAGCACCACAAACAAAATTCTTTTCATGTCCATTACATTTTGGTGTGGAGGCAGACGCAAAAAAGAGTCTAAAATCCTGGACAAATTCCACCAAAAGGTAAAATTGCTGGGCTAGCTGGTTAGCGTGCTAACTAGAAGAAAAGATGTGATAGAGATAAGAGTTAACATTATTGCTCTTCAATGCTGGAGACAGCTCTGGGTGACTTAAAGAATGAAGTTTGATGCTGAACTGGCAGCTGTTCTTCTATGACTGGTAAGTAAACAGCTTTTAATGCTGACACTGGCTATGTAGCAATAGCAAAACATACAAATAGTTCCTTTACACATGTGGAAATTGTTTTTTTTTTGAAGGTATAAAAAACAGTTCCCAATTTACTCAACCACCAGACATGGAGCAACATTAGGGTTCATTTGGAGTTGTGTCTCTGGCCACCTAATAAATGAAAACACGCTGATAAGAGAAGTGAGACCAAATCAAAACAGTAAAGTTTTGAAAGACTTTGAAGAGGACTAGCTTGCGGGCTCTTATAGACCCAGGAAGTCAGATTGCTTGTTGGTCGCATGTGGACTGGACCTTTTACTCTTATTTATGTTCCAAACATCAGACACTGTTCCTAAAATAATCTACCCTAAATAATGAGTTGTGATGTTCTTTGCTGTTTCCTACCACACCATGTCTGATAATGTTCCACTCGTCATAAGCCATCCCGTGGCTTATTGTTAGTGCGAAAGCTGTAATCTCTTCCAGATCCACAAATGTAACTGTATAGGCCGGACACCCACGGCTGTGAAGGCTTGATATTTGGGGAGGTGGGTGGGGGGTTGATTTATACCACACTTCGTGCCCAAGCTACGGATCCAGTGTTTAGACATCACCTAATTCATCCAACATCCCATCAGCTTTAAGAGCTCAAGCCTGACGTGTAACTTTAAAGTTCATCCACAACCACTCCGCAGCACACTCGTGTCAGAGCCGATGATGAAACTTCAAAGACGTGGCAGAGAGGAGTAGGCAGCTGCTTTACAGCTTATGGAGGCGCACAAATCCATACAAACCATTTAGCTGTGTTATTATATACGAATCTGTCATACATTTTATAAGCACCCAGTAGTGTGTTTGGAGTCAGGAGGAAGTTGATCATCACTTCATGTTAAAGTGTCATGTTATTTCTATTCAACCATTATTAATTAATTAACTAATCTGTGTTCTTATTTTTCATATTGTGTGACGCAAGGACCTTAACATCTTAACACAAAGAACAAGGCTACACCCAAAGAGCTACAATATGCTATGATCAAAAATCTTGCTTCAGTACACAGATTCGTTATTACAGTGCTTCACTCCATAATGGATAATGAATGACTTACCCACAGCTCTTTGAGCCTGACTGCAGGTAATGATAGTTTATTTTGACTCCAAAGAGAATGACAGAATGAAGGTGTTGACACACTTTTATCTCAACTGACAGGATGTGTTAACAGTGACAGCTAAAATCAAAAGTAGGATTTATACGCCTCTGGGAAGTGGCAAAAAAAAAAAACCTTCTGGCTGCGGCTGATGTTTTGTCTGTGATGATGTTTTAGCAGACGAATGTCCTCCTTTGGTTCCTGTCTGGGGTCAGACTCTGGCATTCCACTGGAAAAACAAGCCTGTTTATTCAGACAAAAGCGGGGCGTCTCAGTTAAGTCAACATGACATCCCTGCACCAGAACCCAGTTTAATAAGCTTCATAAACTTGCAGTCGCCTTCTCTTTCTTTCTATTTTGAAAGAAATGGTA